AGAGAGAGAGAGAGAGAGAGAGAGATGGACTGAAGGGGAGACAGATCCAGAATAAGGGGTCTCATCTATCTCTTCTCTCTATTCTCTTCTTGTTTCAAACAGTAAGAGCATCTGGAGCCAGCGTTTCCTAATGTTTTCCTATTGTGCAAAAGTAGCTCCCCACATCATCCTGATGAGGTTTGTGATGATTTCCGTGGGGGAAGTAGAAGTATATGTTGAACAGAAAGTCCGGACTTACCCAGCAGTTGCCCCAGGAAGGCCGTGAGGATGAGATATCCGAGGTGCATGTCAAGATCAACCGGTCTTTTTACGGAAAGAGAGAGTCAGAAAAGCACCTCCCAGCCCCGAGATAGCAGAGCTGCCGGAAACGGCTCTGTTGGGGGAGCAAAGGAAGAAGTGGGGAGGGAAACGATCTGTTCTTCCTGTGCCTGAAATACTCCTTCTGGGTTTCACCCTCCTCCAGCAGCAACACCTGTGGCTCCCTCAGCCAAGGGCCTTCTCAGCATCTCCATAGTGAGGGGCCCTGGGGGGATCTGGGGGCTCCAGCTTTGGAAAGGGGCTGTTTCCAGACAGTGGAGTCCTCACCTCCCCAGCTAGAATCACCTGCTCTTCTGCACAGCCCCTGCCGGGCCATATGCCGGGCCATAAATCCACATAAATAGGAGATGAACCCTGCTGTACAGCACCCAGGGGTTCCGCCTGTGTCTTGTTCTGGTGGGGCACCTATGGGGAGAGAGAGGAACCTGACTCCAGCGAGGCTGCTGGATGCCACAAAACCAGAGGTGACCAGAGAAACTAATCCGTAGGGGAATGGGTAAGGGTCAGCAGAGAACAGCACGAGGGATCAGTGCATCACCCAGACACATACCCAGGGAGCACATCGGGCACCCACTGAGGTGCTGCACTGTGGGGGGTGGGGATGGGGCAGCCCTGCACCCCAGAGCTGAAAGGGCACGCGATGGGCTGGGGGATGGGGTCGAGACCCCTACTGCCACCCCCTTCCCAGATCAAGTCCAGAGTGATCCCATGCACCAGTCACAGCAGAGATAAAAATGACTGTTCATTTTGCTTGTCTCATAAAAAGCCTAAAAAACCTCCACAGTGTGGTCGGCAGTGATCCAGGTAACTACAATGCTAATAATAGGAATATTCTCGTGGAAGTGTTGCACATCATTATGGCATGACAGGAGGTTTCTAGAACTGTGGAGTGTTCTGTGGCTGGCAAAGCCTTTCCCAGGTGGAAGAGCAGGCTAGAGCTCACCTTGCAAGGGGCTACAGAGATGGATCTGCCTCCATAAGAGTCACAGCAGACATCTACTAGAGCAACATTAGGACTCTGGCACTTCTAATGAGAGCAGAAATTGAGCCATAGTCCTCAACCTGCAGCCATTCTCACTGACCTCAGGGTCACATCCCCATGAATCTCTCCTTCCTTCCTTCCTTCCCGTTTCTTTCATCTCCCCTTCCCTTACACATTGTCTGGCTTGGCTGCACCTGGGTCCATCCGTGTGTGCCCTGAGGCTTCTCCCATCACCATTCTAGCATGTAGGTCTCAGACACCTGAAGAATGACACTCCCAACACGGAAGACCACGACTGTCCCTCTCAAACCCTCCATTTAGTGGGAACTTTCACCCTCTGTTTGAAAAAACAAAGCCCCGTGAACCACAGAATCCATTTTCCTGCAAGCAGTGGCCCGTAGTAACCACAAGACAATTGTTCATGAAGAAGTTAGGCACCTGCATTTCCAAATTTCTAGCAGGCATTTCCCCTGTTCCAGACTGGTTTTCCTGCCCTTTTCATTATCAGTGTGCTCAAGAAGACATTGACTCCATCTGGCCCTGCATCCTCCAGGTAAGTGTTAGAAGCATCAAAAAGCTCTCTCTTAAGCTTCTCTTTGGAAGGCTGAGGAAGGCCAGTTCTCTCAGCATCCCCTCATGTCTTGTGTTAGTTAACCAACGAATTGGTACATTTGGAAGGGACCTCTGGAGGTCACCAGGTACAAGCCCACCTCAGGAAGAGGCACCTAGAGCTGGTTGCAAAGGACCATGTCTGGAGGGATTTGGAAGACCTCCAAGGATGGAGACTGCTCCACCTCTCTGGGCATCCTGTGTCAGTGCTCCCTCACCATCACAGTGAAAAAGGGTTCCCTGGTGTTCAGAGAGAGCCTCCTGTGTTTCACTTGGTGCCCAGTGCCTCTGGTCCTGTCACAGGGCACCACGCAGAAGAGCCTGGCTCTGCCTTCTTCACACCCTCCCTCCCGATATTTGCACACAGTGATGAGAGCTCCCCTGAGACTTCTCTGTGCTGACCAGTCCCAGCTCTCTCAGCTGGGATCTCCATACGAGACTTGCTCCAGGCTCTTCATCATGGAAGTGGCCCCTTATTGGTCTGTCTCCAGTATGACCGAGACATACGGTTCCCAGTGAAAACACACACACTTACACCCTCTGCAGGGTGAAGAAACGATTTAATAAGGAATCGGGGAGACTGTGGTGATCAGGCACAGGGCTTATACTGGCAAGTGCACTGACCAGCCCCTGCTTAGGGGCAGGGAACTCATTTTACCCTTCCTCCCCTCTGTTGCCTCATCACCAAACAGGATAAAACAATGTATCGACACCAATGTGATGTATTTTCCTGGTTCAGCTAGGATAGGGTTAAGGTTCCCCAGCACAGAGAGAGGAGGAAGGGATCTCCAGCTGGGTTATTCATACCATGCTGGATTCGGATCCAGGCGGGAATTTTTTCCTTGGTAGCTTTTGGTGGTGGGAGCACACGTTGGGTTTGTTCCCTGATCATTTTGCGGTATTTCTCTGTATATCTTCGGTCTTGTTCACTGTTATTGCTGTTTATTGTTGTTATCATTGCTACTGTTGTTGTTCAGATTGTTTATCACACTGTTGTATTAAATCTCTTCTTATTTTAACCCGGGGTTTGTGCCTCACTTCCAGCCCGACCGGCTGAGGGTGGGCGAAGGGCAACGGCAACATGGTCTCTGGTCCCGGCAGGGCTTAAACCAGCACATGTAGATAAGCAGACACTCCTTTATTAATATTAGGCCAGGTGTGTAGGTGTGTCGTCTCACCCCCAACAAACACCTAACTCCTGTACCATGCTGATTATATAGGATACAGTAATTCACAATAAACAAGTTCTCATACATACACATAAATATTCCCGTAACTCATTTTCTTATTCCCACCTTTTTCCACTTCTGAAATGAGTCGGGGGACTGCTTTTACAACCACCATGGACTGCTGACTCGAAAGAAACACCCTCCAGTGTCCTTGTCTCAAGGCATTTGGGTCACATTACAACTTTGACATCTTTCGAGGCCCTTTCACAATGTATCTTCTGGAAAACTTGATGTATCTTTTCAGAACACCTGCACTACAGGGCATTAAATTGTCCTTATTGATCAGCCTAGCAACAGTACCTGGTCATGAATCTTATTCTGCAATAGAAACCTGGTTAATGAATATTACCCGCCTACGTGGCCTTAGCCTGGGACTCTTTACAAAGGACTTTATAGCAGCATGACTGCTTGCATGATCACCCTAAAACAATCTTTATTTAAATCAAATTCACCAAAACTCATTAAAATCATCTCAAATTAACATCACATCAATAACAGTCTCCCCTTACTCCTCCCCAGTCCCCTCTTCCCCACCACCTTTGACCCTTCCCCTAAGCATTCCTTCAGAACTCTTGTCTAGCCCTGCAGGACCCCCATGAAACATCCCCAATCTTCAGGTTCCTCTCCTCACTTCTTGTCACATAGAAAGCTCAGCCTCAAGCACTTCAAAGCTTCACCTGCAGTTCCCTGATGGCCCATCAATTAGAGGCTGAAGAGCTCTGGTCCCCCTCCTTGTCTCCCTCATCACTTCCTGAGAGACTGCTGTCATTGTGTGCCTTGATTATCACTTTCCCTTTGACTTGTTCTTCCCTTTGAAAGGGAAAGGGAGTTGATCAGACAGCCCTAGTGATATGGATGCTTTCGCATTCCAGGGGTCTTTAAGTGACCTCTGGGGAAGTTCCTCGGGGGAGTGAATTCCTCAAGATGCTGAAAGGCCCCTGTCCACAGAGAAAACTGGGTCACTTGAGTCATGGCTCTGGGGGGAAACCCCAAGGTGAGCTCAGTCTTTGAAGTGTGTCCCTGCAGCACCTGCAGCAGCACTAAGCCATGGCATTCACTTTCCAGGACACCCGTGATGGGGCAAAAGTGAAGGAAAAGGGAAATGGCCAAATGAGTCATCAGTGTCAGAGACAAGGCATAGAAAAGACTCAGGTCATGTGAAATGTTATTCTGGAATGAATTGCCTTGCACCCCCATGTTCCATCATATTTATTGTTTACTGCCTCAGATATCCTGTTTCCTACAAGAACCTGAACCCTCTCTCACAGCAATTTGGGAACATCCCAGCATGAGGACAGACCTGAATTCCACCTCCAGGTGGGATCCAAATCTTATCATTCTTAGCCCGTCCAGGTGAAAGGGGACTTCCCATATCTCTTCCAGTACCTCGCAGAGACACTTGTCTGCAGGTGCCTCCCTCGCTTTGCCTCCTTCTCTTTCCCACTGGCCCATCTCTCCCTCGAACACATCAGCCACCCACTGAAGAGCAGGTTTTTATCTTAAGGCAACTTCATCAGGCCAGCTTGCTCTCTGGTGTCCCAGCCTCAGCATCCACAGCTGCAGGGCATCTGGCTCACCCCAGACACAGCCCTTTGCTGCCATGGGAGCATGTCAGGGCAGCACCTCTCCCCGTGCTGAACTGGAACTGGTCCCACACCTCCACAGCTGCCCTACAGCGATCACCAGGGGTGGGCTGGGTCTTGTCTGACTCTGAGATAGTTTTGCCTTGTAAAGTGGGGAAGCCCTGCAGCTGCAGCAATAGGGATGGTCTCTAGCACATGTGAGAGTGACTGTCTGCCAGTGTGTGTGTGAACAAGTGCCTGTCTGTGTGTGTCTGCGCATGCGTTTGAGTACACGGGAGCTTTTGGAGGTGACACGTAAGTGTGTGTGGTGTCAGTGTGCGGGTGTGTGTATGTGTGTGGGCATCTGTGTGTGCAGACGAGCACATATCTATCTCTGTACACGAGCTTGCACCTCTATCTACATGTGAGTGTGCACATGTAAGTGTGAGTGTGAAAGTGCATCTGAGCATGTGAACACCAATGTGATGACAAGTCTCAGGGCTGTTTGTTTGTGTGTGTGTGTGTGTGTGTGCGTGTGCAGGGGTTCCTGTGCAACTGGCTGTGCATGCACATGTGTTTCATGTGTG